TTCCCTCCCCCTAGTAGGAACATCAGCAGTCGCTGCTCAATGCCACTCGGGGGCACCAACGACCTATCTCTAGGTGGCGGGTGCCAGGCTTGCCCAGGAAGGTACATGAGGCCAATGCTGATTGAACCCATGACCTCCTGAATACCACTTGTGTGCCTTACCAACTGAGCTAGGCCGCTGGACTTGGTCCCTTAAATTTCTGTGTGCAGAATCTCCCCTCTCTCTTGTTCTTTTTCGCCGTGCTCCTACTCTCCTCTAGTTTTGTCGTTCACTGCTTAACTCTTTGTCAGTTGTTCGACATACACCAAGGGCGTTGCCACACCACTCTCTAAATGGGACAAAGACAAAACTGTGGTCTGGCCACGTTCTAGGGGGAAGTTCATTCTCATTTTGCACATTTCGCGAGTGGTGTGGCAATGCCCTACTCATGGGCCTTGCTCCACTACTCTCGAAAATGTGCAAAACAAGAGTGAATCTTCCGCCTAGAACACATGGAACGATACTCCTCCATGCTTTTTGTCTTTTGTGCATGTCGAGAGTGGTGGAACGAGGCCACATGACGCACTCATCATCGGGCCTGGCTGCACTACTCTCCACATGCACAAAAAGACAAAAAAGATGGCAATGTATCTTTCCATGTTCTAGCGGTGGATTCATTCACATTTTTCACATTTGGAGAGTAGTGCAGCGAGGCCCATAGTTGCAATCTTAGTTCGCCCGTGCCGTGCTTCGTACTGATTCAGAACCGTGATTAGCCCCCCTTACCCCCACTTACCCCCCTAGCACCGCCAGTTTCCCCCATCGGCAATGCCTGCCCACCCCACATCACCGTGATGAGGGGCTGGTACAGCCTTCGGGGCCCGTACAGCCTTGCTCTCGCACAAATCTTGTGGTGCAAACCCACCCCGTGGGCTGGGGAGAGATCCGGGTTGGTTGGTGTTCCCCGTACTGTACATACATAGACTAGGGAGAGGATGAGCTATATGGGAAAGACGAGTACATAGATAGATTGAGAGAAGACTATGGCTTACCTTTTATAATACAAAAAAGAACATTGATTACCTTTGTCATCAATGCAATGCTCTTGTCCCTATTTGGTAGAAGTTTCAGTACAGTAAGGTTGTACTGGCAGCTCCTAGGGAACAT